ATGTATATTATCGAGGGAAAACGAAATTATTGGTATATATGGCGCTGTGTGTATTGATATATGTCACATAGGCTACTTTTTATCCTTTTGTGACGTGAGCAAAGCCGCGGGTAAAAGCTAGTACATCATAAAGGAGTGTTTTTTAAAATTGTGTTGACAAGATTTTTGGTATATATCAAAGTGAGCTTTGTCACAAAGCCAAATTCATATGAATAGGACATCTGTTCTACGAAAGGCTTTTAGAAAAATGGTTTTCTAGAATAATTTAGGACATAGGTTTCACAGAACATGAAATTCCATTTGTCCAAATCCGGGCAACGGAAATGATCAATGGATGTAGGGACAGTGGTTTTCTGGAAAATCCATCAGGAAAGCTATCAAATGGGTGCTCACAAAGGAAGGTGCAGTCTTTTGTTTCTGGATTACCTGACCAAACGGAATTGTGAATGAGCTTCGATTTATTACTTATTTCTTTCCACAAAGCTCTGTTTTCCTATACAAAAGTGAACCTTCCTTTCTTGTCAATGGCGTCGAAATAAATTAAGGAAGTACACAAACAACTTGGAAAGAGTCGTATTTATATTTGCCACGCATGGAACTCGTGCTTTCAGAAGCTCGAGAAGCGGATACCTGTTCATGCCATCATGGCCTTTGTATTAATATGGATTAAGATGTGATATCTTAAGAAAATGCTCTAATAGACATAACATTAGGTATGTAGATAGTTACACATATATATGTACACTCAACAACGACCGCAGCACCATGATTGAATCGCACGATTGCCACTTGGTAAGCCGTGCATTCAATTGTCTAGGCTATTGTTGAGCGGAAATTAGACGTCTCGCAATTTCGAGGCTAATCATTGTATAATATGTGACTGATGAACTACACATAATAAGAGGTATTATAGGTATTATTAACCTTAAGATATTAACAACGTAGCTTGAGGTATTATTAAGAGGTATGAGGTCTTTGTAGCTTATACACCGATTTTCGAAGTTTATACTGATCTCTGGATTTTAAGAGAAGATGATCTCTGTGGTTTCTTGTAGTTCTTTCTTGCAGTCTGTAGTCAAATAGGAAAAAACTTTATTTAGCTTTATTTAAATATTATCGTATAAAAAGTGCGAAATAGACGTTTAATGTTTACCATTACGTTAAAAATGAAGGTTCCATTTAACTTATGAATTGCTAATAATTAACTCAACAAATGTTTGCGAACAAAGTTACTATGACAAAAATTATTCATCAATTAGTGAGACCCTTTGAACTTACAGTGATGAGGAACTCGAAATTGAAATAAGATATATTAAGAGATATTAAGTAAAAACAGTTTTTACATTGAAATATTCTATGTTCAATGCAACAGAGGTTAGAGTAAAACAAAAATTAAAGGTAATGTTACACATTTCGGGCACAGTTGCAAATTGACACTTTACAGGCGTTGGACTGTTGAACATGCTCAATAGAACGCTTTTTAATACACTATTTTAGAGCACGTGCAATAACACCTTTAATATTGAATTCCATTTAATGATAATTATGTTAAAAACACTTTGTTATTACTTGTACGTTTCACATCATGTACAACAATCGTCAATAGCCCATAAGGCCCACTGCTTAGCAAAGCCTCTTCGTAAGCATTACACCACGCTTGTTCAATGCGGTTTGGTGATTTCAAACTTATAATTAGAAATTATAAACCCAGGTTTCCTTACGATATTTTCCTTCACCGTTTGTCAGTGGTGTGTAATCTTAGAAAGTACATTTAACTCGGAAAAGTCACATTGGTACTTGCCGTTGGTAAGTTTCGAACCCGCACCCTCATGCATGACAAGCGGGCGTCATAATCCTCCGGGCTACCACGACATCATATTTCTACGCTTCGTTTAAATAACTATCTTTTTCAAAATACATTTTATCCCGCAGACGATTTTACAATTGGATGAAGTCGGTACATTTATCTCGTATTTTAATCATAACATTGGCAGTATTTAAATGCAAACCAGGGAAGCTTTTCTTTGTTTTTTTTGCGTCGTGAGCCTTTTGTGACAAAGAACTTGAATGTCGGAATTTTCCATTTCAGCAAAAATATTCGCAATTAAGTTCACAATAACAAATCTTTCGATCTTTTGTGTTTTCTGTCTAAAAGTTACTTGTAATAGTTTAATTTTTTTACTTGTATATCTTTTTATTGGCACGTCTAAACAACGTAATGTGATTAAATCGAGTGAGTAAAATAAATAATTCATTTGCTTACTCTTAATAATGTGAACATAATTTTTATTGTTCTGTAATTTTAACATATCGAGAAAACAACCATGTAAATAATTTCGTAGCTAATTTAATCCAGTTATGAACTAATGGCATATACTGGCCACATTTATCGG